CAGCTTACCAACATGGAAGCCACGGTATGCAGGCTAGCTATGACTGGACATCAGTCCATCCTCATAGCCTCCTGCTACATCCCTTCAGGAACCTATCCCCTCAAAAAAGATTTTGAGGCCATTTTATCTTGAGGCAATTCAGTCATTATGTTTGGAGATTTTAACTCCAAGCATACTGAATGGACATGCTGCACTACGTCCCCTAGTGGCAAGATACTGCTCGATATCACGCAGTCTCTTGATATTACCGTCCATAGTCCTCTCGGTGTTACTCACTTTCCCGATAACACCGATCACGCACCCGATGTGTTAGATTTTGCGTTACTCCAAGGAGTTTCTCTCAACCTCAGAGCAATCGAGACACTAGACGATCTGGGTTCAGATCACCGACCGGTCTCCCTCATTCTTGGCCATCAGCCACCTCCCCCAACACACACGAAAACCTTCACTAACTGGAAGGGATTCAAGGAGTCCCTAGCTAAAGCTTTGGACTCACAGGACTCTACCATCCCCATACCGTCGGACTTAGACAGTCCCGAAAAAATCGATACCGCGGTCGATTCACTCTCCACCCTTATTAAATCCTCCCTTAAGGAGAACGAAAGGGTCGTCCCGGTTGCTAACAATAGTGGGCTTCCCCTACAGATTAGCAACCTATTAAAAGCCAAAAAAAGCTGCTTTCCGGAGAGCAGCAAAATATCCCACCCCCGAATATAGGCGCGCGGCCAATCGTCTTCAACGAGAACTCCGCTTCCGCCTCTCTGAATTTCGAGATCTCGAAAAGAGTAAGCTCATGGAGAATATCTCTCCATCTCACACAGCGTACTATCAGATGGCTAGAGCCCTCCGCATAGACGCTATCACCCACACTCGCCCTCTCTCCCGTCCCGACGGCACGGTTGCCTTCGAGGACGAGGAAAAGGCTGAGTGCTTTGCAGATAGCATTGCCGCTCAATGCTCTCCCAGTTCTCAACCCGTCGACCCCTCACACGTCCAGGCAGTGGAGGATGAGGTCCGCCGCCGGAACTCACCCCCTACGGCCTCCGAACCTATCTCTGTGTCCAATGATGAGATTTCATCCCTCATCAAAGGACTTAAGCCCAAAAAGGCTCCGGGCGCGGATGGCATCTTCAACCAAGCCCTAAAACACTTTCCCGAGCAGGTGTTAACCTTTTTATCTATTATCTTCAACGCCTGCTTCAACCTCAGTTATTTTCCCCCTACGTGGAAAGAGGCTACTGTGATTGGAATTCCCAAGCCAGGCAAGCCTCTCAACCTCCTCTCCAGCCATCGCCCCATTAGCCTCCTCAAGGCAATGGGCAAGCTCTTCGAAAGAGTCATCCAAACGCGTATGAGGCGCTATCTGTTTCCCACAGACGGCGACCCTCTTACCATTCCCCATCAATTCGGCTTGCGAGCCAAACACTCATGTCCCCAACAAGTTCACCGCATTGTGGAATATATCCTCAGCGGTTTCTATCCTCGTCGTCATAAGACCATCGCGGTCTTTTTCGATATAGCCAAAGCTTTCGATAGAGTCTGGCACACAGGCCTCATCTACAAGCTCTATATAATAGGTCTCCCCGATCGTCTAGTTCGTCTCGTGGCCTCCTATTTAAAACATCGTACCTTTCGTTTTAGACACGAAGGCACGCTTTCTTCACAGCGAACTATCAAGGCTGGTGTCCCTCAGGGCTCAGTACTTGCTCCTCTGCTGTACATCCTGTTCACCAACGACATTCCCATCCCGTCGAAAGGTGTTCAACTCTCCCTCTTTGCAGATGACACTGCCATCTACTGCAAAGGTGTCTCACTACCCCTTATACGGAACAAGATCCAAAAGTCAGTTGATGACCTAGGAGCTTGGTTCAAAAAATGGCGCATCGATGTGAACCCGGAGAAGAGCTCCGCCGTCCACTTCGATTATAAACGACGCCGTCTCAAAAACACTCCACCAATACGTATGCTAGGGACCCCTGTCCCCTGGCATACGTCCGCCAAATATTTAGGTGTCACTCTAGACACAGGGCTCACTTTCAAGCCCCACGTCAAAAGAGTAACCCGTCACGCACGGTTTTATCTGAGTAGGCTCAACAGTATGTTGGGCCGACACAGTAAAATGTCCCTTCGAAACAAGCGTACCCTCCACAAGGTATGTATACGACCAGTCATGTCCTACGCGGGCCCCGTCTTTGCCCACGCAAACCCTAACATTTTAAATGAACTCCAAATAGTTCAGAACCTCTTCTGTCGTCGAGCTGCGAACGCACCATGGTACGTCCGTAATGCCGACCTTCATCGGGACTTAGAGCTCACAAAAATTCAACAATTTTTTTAAAAAACTCTCTGAGAACTTCTTCAAAGCCTCAGAGTCGCACCCAAACCATTTAATTCGTGAGGCAGCTTCTTATGCAGCCCCCCTCTCGCTATCGAGTCCGCAGGCCGAGAAACTCTCTCTCGGACCCGCCTAATAAACTTTCAAACGACCTGAACTGTCTCCTGGCGGCTCAGGCCAACTCTAATTAAATAAAATTATTGTAATATCTAACATTAATTTGCCTTCGTAGGCACTCCCTCAGCGGCACTTAGCCGCCTGCGCCCTCTTTTCCCAAAAGAGGGTCGCTCATGATAAGGCACAATAGAGCTTAATCAGCCGGTTGCCTGTCCCCAAAGGCGGTTTTTAGAGGGTATCACTTAGGGTCCCCGGTAGGACAGTGAGCCCCTCATAACCACGATAGACCGGCTATCGTGGTATGCGTAATGCATTTTCCGCCTCCCTACGTATAGGGTAGCCCTTTAATTGCTTCGGGCGCAAAAAAAAAATTAATAGCCACATTTCGCGTGGATACGTCGTACGTCGTACACGACCTATTATGCGCAATATTCAGCAATAAAAAGGACGAGTCAGAGATTATGAATGAAACAATGTTATTGATGAGATTGGATTCATTTATTATAATTTTTGTGCTTAAACTGTTTAAGAAATATTTTAATTTGTACTTCTTATATTTTTCTCTTTCTGTTTATAAATTTCTAAGATTTCAAATTTACCCTGTTTCCCTAAAAGAGGGCTAAAATTCGAGACATGTCAGGAAAATTCCTGTCATCTGGTAACCCTAATCGTAGTTAATGCCTACGTCGTTATTAGGGAGACACTGCTTCTCATCTCCTGTTTTGTTTCCCACTGTCGCCACTTACGACACCCGCGGGATGATATCAGGTAGTGGATATACTTGCACTGCCACTACACGGTTAACACCTCTCTTACTAAAGGTTGAATTTTCCAAAATTCTTTCTTAGTGGATGCTTACGTCATAAAAGGCACGTCTAGTTTTTTGGGATGTGCGTCATGATATAATATTTTTCATACAATCTTTGCACCCTCTTTTTTAAGTCCCTAGGATAGATTATTGAGGAAACTAAAAATGTGAAATTTATTACTTTTAATTCAGGTGTGAATTACATATTTTAAAAATATACGTATATAGTATAGATATACATTAACGCAACCCTATATGAAAAAAGATGTAATAGAAAACATATTAAATACAGTACTCTCACCGCTATTAACTCGCAAAAATTATAGAAAATTTATAGTCACTATAATTTATCCTATGAAACACACAAGCACACACTAGACGAAAGCACTTTTTAGACAAAGTAAAGTCTATTGACCTATTACTACAAAATAATACAAGCATGAAAAAAATTGCAAATAAGAGGCTATTTGAGTTACCTAATAAAACTTTTAAGATATAACATGTAACACAAAAAATGTGTATACTCTTATAGTATGTGATTATTCTCCATATTAAAATTTTTATAAGAAGCATTAATATTTTTACCAAACTAATCAAATACTCACTATTATTAAGACAGCAAAGATAGTTTATAATTTCGATATTATAAAGTACATAAGCCTTTAACTTAAAGTTAGCAAAAAGGCTGAAGTGTACTCGTATTACCCTATCACTCCAAGATAAGGCGTGTATAAATAATGTTGTTGGCAAGAAGTTATGTAGATTGTTAAACAATAAATTAAGGTTAAAGGAGGTATAGGACACCGAGTCTGTAATGTTATAATACAAATATGTTAGCCACAATATTAACAAATTTAAAGGAAAAATCATTATATTTCCTAAACCAACCAAACATTCACTATAACTAAAACTGCAATGGTAATAATATAAAATCGCAATAGTATAAAGTATATAATCCTTTAACTTAAAATTAGCAAAAAGGCCAAAGCATATTGACATATAACTACAAAAAGGTGTGTATAAAGAATAAAGTCAATAAGAATCTGTATAGGTTATTAAACAATAAAATTAAGTTAAAAGTGTCATAACATACTGTGTCCATAATTTCATAATACAAATATGTTAGCCACAGTACTAACATATAAGAAAAAATTACTATTTTACCAAAACCAATCAAACACTCACTATTACTAAAATTACAAAAACAAAGGTAGCACATAAACATAAACTATATATACAACCAACTCTGAGTTAGCAGAAAACACGACTTAGGTCTGTATCGGATCGGATACGTGTTACGGGCTTTCCATCTTCCTTCCTTACGAATATTTGACCACCCTCTGTCCATGTGTAGCGCCAACTTGCCTTTTTTTACTGCCTCACGTGTCTTCCCAAACAATTTCCTATTGTAGGGAGTAAGCCGCTCATTAATGTAGATCCGACACGGATCTCCGGGCAACCCCAGTGAATCACTGAACGTAGGAACTCGTCCCGAACCTCACGCCGACTCCTCCGCACCACAATCTTGTGGGGTCCAGTAGACATGAATTTTAAGCGCTATTGTTATTATAATAAGATGTACGCAAAATACCAGCACGCTCAGCATGAAGTATCTCACAGTGATCAATATCGAGACCTATCTTTTAGCGCATAGCACCACCTTTTTGCTCCGGTAACCGCGATATCTCCAGATCATTGGCTAGGAGGTCCTGATCTCTCTCATTAAGTTGGACCCGAAGTTCACTTACTCTCTAGTGTTTTAGTGTCACACTTAATCAGACGTTCTTCATATAGTTTTTCCAACTTGGTGACTCTGCAATCCATTTTCTCCAGGTTTTTATTGCATGCAAGAACTGTATCCTTTAGCATAGTTATATTGTCTCTCATTTCCTTCAACTCATTCCTCATAGCGCTAAGCTCATTTCGAAAAAGACGAATTTCTAAACCTATATCGATATCTTTATGGGTAGGACTACTGTCACCAACTTCTTGGCACTTAACCGGTGTGTTGGAATGGTCTCCAGTGTGAGGAACCTTATTTTTACAAGCAGGGCACATCCATGAAGCGGATATCTTCGTCTTCTCAGACAGGTTCAGACAGGCTCGATGATAGGATACATCACATTTGCCACATATAATAACATCTGTCGCCGGCAGGTAACGACCACAGGCTCCAGACTTGACCATGGTGAGTTGATTGTGATAGACTTATTTACATTACTTTATTTCTTTATGTACGTTGCAGTGTCTTATTTATTACCAGTAGCCAAAAGTGGGCAATAAACACGAACCTATTGATCACTACTACTGACCAGGTTTACAGTTAAAACAACACACAATTATTGACCTTTTTTATAATTATTATAACTAATCGAGAATTATACTTTAAAAATTTACTGTAATAATAATTATTGCAGAAAATAAAGTAAACATAATGTTTTTTAACAAATGAATATGTAACACGAACAAAATAATGTTAAAATTTAGTAATTATAACGGGGTAGATCGATATCGATGATAGTTTTATTTTAACACTTTTAATTTTAAAGTTATTTTGATTTCGCTTAACTAATGTTGAATTCTTCTACACAATGTTCTGAATTGTCATACACACTCACTTTTATGACTTTAAAGGATAGATAATTATTTTAAATTAAGCAAATTAGAGCACTACACTGACAACAACATTACTCGCTCGACGGTAGGTTACAACTCTCTTACATAATTACCAATGATTAATAACAACATGTCATTGTTATCCAGAAGAAACAGCGTTGGTGATAGCACGCAGCCTTGTGGAACACCAGCGTTAATGGGCTTGTAATCGGAGCATGCACCGTCTACTACGACCTTGATGCTCCGATCAGCAAGAAAACCGGTGATCCAATCGCACAATTTATCGGGAAGCCCATAAGAAGGGAGCTTCGAAAGAAGCGCTTTGTGCCAAACCCGATTGAAAGCCTCCGTTATTTCCAAACTAACGGCCAAAGGCCCCCCTTGGACTCTACTGCCTTCGCCCATTTATGAGTTAGGTAGCCCAGAAGATCAACAGCTGAGCGACCGTGACTGAAACCATACTGGTGGTCACTAATCAGCTGGTGATACTCAAGGTACCGCACGAGCTGGCTGTTAATAATGGATTCCATTATTTTAGAGAAAAAGGAGGTAATGGCGATAGGGCTATAATTGGACGGATCAGAGCGGTTACTTTTTTAGGGATCGGGTGCACGAAGGCTGTTTTCCATGATTTTGGGTCTACGCCTAGGGAGTAGGAGTACCGGAAAAGATGTGTTAAAACCGGTGCTAACTCCGGAGCACACGTCTTCAGCACAATAGGAGGGACGCCATCAGGCCCACTCGACTTGTTTATGTCCAGGGAGAGGAGTGCTCTGCTCTGCGTTGGGTAAACAGCACATCCTGCATGGAGCACTCACATTAATTTTATTTATTTTATGAATTTATAAATTTTTTATACTATTTACCTTAACAGTTAAAATTTGTATTAACCATCTTTGAAACACCGTACAAAGAGGAAACCGAGATAATAGGAAACACTGTATTTAAAAGAAAGGTTCTAAAAATGTTATTAATATTGCTAATCTTAACTTTAACCACTGCTATTAAGCTAAAATGCTTAAGTTGAGATGCTTGTGCTAGGAGTGGTTCACGACAGTAGTCGAATGGCGGATTTAAACCCACAAGCATTTGAGTTCGCAGTCCGGACTCTGTGATTAATCTACTGTCACTTACCTTACTGTATTCTATCTCATTCTCTCGCGGGCTAAATCCTATAGATGTATATGTTTGTCTCTTTTTAGTGCCGCTTTTTCATTTCATCGAGTTCCCAATCACAAAAATTCTAAAGAAATTTTCACTTCAAAATTGTCTTTAAGTCTAATAAACTTTTAAAATGAGATTCCTGCGACCAGAAAAAAACAGCTAAAGAAATTCCGCAGGTTTCCTCTATACATCCGTATAACCAGCCATGATATAATCAGCGGTGCTGTGTTTGCGCATACACTTGTCGCACAAAAATATCTCAAGTAAAAGTTGCTACCGAGATCAAAATCGGCCAGGGGACATCATTACCAATGATAAGTAAAAATGTGACATAATTTTATCAAAAATAAACTTCTGTAAATACGTTATTGGTTTGACAATTTACTGTCTAGGCTATCACTAATTATTTACCACTAGTCAACCAAGTTTGGAAAGGAAAAGTATAACGCACCGGTACTGTATTCTCCATTTCGAGCAACTTTAGAACTGCCCATAGCTAAAAAAATATATTAGATCTACATACCTGTCATTTTAAACACCTAATAAGGACCTAGGATTCCAAATTGCATGGATACACCTACTAAAGTTTTTGAGTTATTAAAGCCTGAAAAGTACAATTTGTTCACTCATTTACTTAGTAAAAACCCTTCCAGGTTCATTAGAAACGTAAAATTTGGCACCAAGGTGTACCTTGAGTCGTATACAAGGAAGAAAATCAGATATCTAGAAATTATCGGTATTCGGTGTTGACGTATAATTCTTATAATTTAAATTTAAAAAAAAGAAAACAGTAGTTTAAAAGCAAGAGAAAACGTTGAAGGTCTTGGCTTATGTATTTAAACTAATAAATTGATTACACCTTTAAACAAAATATTGATACTGTTGAGGCCGATCCCGTTTAACGTTTTGAAAAAACCACTAAGTAACCTCTCTAAAGGTTTATGAGAAAAGTTCGCACACAAAATTGATAATGTCCCTGACTACCAAACTTAAATACGTCTAGGAATCTACATACGTCCTATCTACCCAGTGGTCTGAGTTTAACTCATGGGCGTACAACTTAGAACATTATTTTGAGAACAAAGTGATCTTTTTTTGTACTCCCATCTACATTGCAAAACCTTAGACTAGACTTATTTTAATCCAACTAGAGGGCACGCTTATACATTAAGTTTACGTATACGAAATGATCTATGTTTCGTTCGCACTTTACTATGCAGCACAGAGTATTATACCTTTGTATAAACTATGCAGTTAATGGCGGTCACTGCTAGTAAAGTTTAAATTGATAATAATATCTATTTAACATTATTCCTGTTTTTCGTGTGTTTATGTGTTTTATTTCATTGTAATTGATAAATCTGCGACATAGTTCAGTTTTGTTTATTGATTGTAACTAAAATGCCACGTGGCAATGTGTGGCATTTTATGCAATATATTTAGGCAATGTGTTTTTAAATGTGACCAATTTGGTAAGAACTTTTTTAATATTCGCGTAATTTCCAGTTTTTGTTCACTTGTAAACAGCTAATATCTAAGAAATTGAAGTTTTGGGCATGGGCTGTTATGGTCAAAAGTCCACTGCTATGCATAGGTAGGCCTTTACAGATTGCCTCGTAGGTACTATTTGCCATAGCTGCCACGCTTGGTAGGTGGGTTATTGCTTATCTCCTGATTCAGTTTTCCTCTCTCGCCTTGCAACCTTGATATAACAAATCGGAAGGGAACAAGTTAATATTCGTTATATCAAGTAATTCGTTGAAATTAAGTTTGTTATGTTGAGGTTAGGTTGGTCGTAAATTTTTTACAAAGGTAAAAAAATCGCGACATGAATCGCATACTATGGGATTATATAGATATGGGATGGGGTTAAGGGTCATACGTAGGTGGAAAATTTATAATAAAGGTTTTGGGTTGACAAAATTCGTTAATTAGAGGTATTTACACTTTTCTTGATAGTTGAGAATTATAAAGAGTTATAAAGAGGTTATTCGTAAGATATGTTCGCAATGTAAAGGTATATTTTACATTGACTTATGGACAATTCAAAGAGATCACGAAAAATTTGTTAAATCAAGGAAGTCGTTATATTGAGGTATGTTAAGGTTGCACTGTATTTTATCATTTCAGATATTTTGCACTACTTTCCTAGACCGGAATACCCTACAATGGAAAGGTTTTAGCTATGGAAGAGCAGGAACATATTTAAAAGATAAGACCGATCGTAAAATATACAATAACCACCGCATTTGTGATCGGCACTTTGAGGATCGTTTTTTATATCCTCATACCAAAAGGCTTGCAAAAACAGCTTACCCCAGTCTTAACCTTGGTAAGACTTTATTCTTTTATTCTCACTTTTATGTTTATTAGCTATTATTTAAGCAGTGCAGACTAAAGAAACTCAATTTCATGATGTAATATTACTAAAGATGGTCAAGCAATCTTTTAGTTTTACTTATTATAGATATGTCAGTGTACAGCTTGACTACAACAACTACATTTATTAAAAGAAAATGTACAAAAAGTGTTATAAATAGCTTTCATAAGAATAAATATGTTCAAACTTTAAACACTAGGAACAAACATAAGCTTGTAATACCAGTTACTAGAATCCACTGAGTCAGTATTGCTTTATGGGGCAATGTATTATACGCTTTCACAACAAAATTGCAGAAAATGTTCAAAATTTGTCAATTAACAATTTGAAATGTTTTATTAGAGGAAAAATGTACAAAAAGTGTTATTATAATATCAAAGAATACATAAAATAACTCCTGGGAATGAGGTGATCGCAATCATGCTTGTATGTACTATTAAAATTTATTTAAAAAATGATATTTTAAAGTGAAATATTTTTAAAAAAAGTCACGCTGGGTTTCTTGCTGGTTTTTCCCAGGACAGTGGTATCAGTGGTAAATAAAACATGATTTCCAATAAGTATTATGTAATCATCTATATTTAATTAAAAAAATGTTCTATTCTCTTTAATATAAGATATTTGCTAATTGGTAGGGACATTGTATAAAGAAATCAATTGATATTGTGCAAATACTGTTAAATTTAACACATCTAATATTATTCAATAACTAAGCAAAGAATTTTTAAACAATAAACGTTTTAAAAATAACCTGTTTTTTATTTTTTGGTATAGGAACTTACAATTACCACAAGAAACATAAACAACTATTAATTACATTGCAGCACTTGCGCAATGTAATTAGTGGTTGTATATAAAATAAAAATATTAAAGTGCAAATAGAGCCCAAAGCACCAATATTTTAACGCCATCTATTAGGCAAAACCCGAACTTTGACTAAAATTAAATTTGAGTCGCACATCTATCTCTAGTATATATACAGTAATCTATGGTTTAACTGATCATTAAAGATGTAAATAAATTAACA